AAAAGGAAGAAAAAAAAAAACCCTGCAAGGCAGCTACAATTAGAAACTGGGGCTTCAGCAGTATAAGCAGCTCATAAGCTTCGTAGCAAAAATTTGGGGTGGCTGGATCCTACAGAGCATGAGGAGCCACAGTAGTGTCTGCTGCAAAGCCCTGGCTCTTACCAGTGCTCCCTTGTCCCGATTTGTACCCTCTTTGAATGTGTTCTGCCCCAGTCTCCAGCAGAGACTTCGATAGGAAGAAATACATACTGTCCTTCCTTAGTCTTGGCCTGGAAGAGGGCAAAGTTTCAGACTTGTGCCTGCAAAGTATTAAACCACAGTCCTGATGAATGTGGCCATAGCTGGCTTGTTTATTAATTACAATTTATACTCTCACTAGTTTAGGGCAGGGACCATGTACACCCAAGCCCTAATATAGTGCCTGGCACACAGAAGGCATTCAGTAAATATTTGTTAGGACAAATAAATATACCACATGCAATCTTTTGTTTTGTTCACATCAGAAAACAAAAGCATGCAATTCTCATTTAGCATTAATAAGTATTGGATTATTAATGATGGAGCAAGTTGAAAATTAATTCAACAGCAGAATGCTATTATAGGCCAATATAGTAAATTCCTTATGTCCTGTAACAGATTCAGATACACACAGGTAGATTCCTTAGTGTAATCATAAAATTTTGCAAGTAGAATGAACACAAGTTACATTTCTTTTTGAAATAACATACTAATACATACTCATAATAAAAAGTCATGCCACACAGAATTATGTATAGCAAAAGTAAGAGTATCCTTCAATATCACCCGCTCCTGTCCTTCCCTCTCTAGAGATAAGTACTGTTAATGACTGAGTATGTGTGCTTCAAATATTTTTATTCATTTGTAAATATGTATAGTGATTTTATGTAAGTAGGATTATAATCTACATATTGTTTACTATTTGATGTTTCAATAATTACCTTTCCACTTTAGTACATTTAACTCTGTCTGCTGGTTGCATAGTGTAGATATCCCATAAAATATTTAATCATTCTCTTACTGGTGAATTGTCAGATGCTCCAGAGTTTTTGTTCTTAGAGCAATGCTGCAATAAGCATTCTTATGTGTGTGTGGATTTCACATATTTGCTTATATTTCTGTGGAATAGATCTCTAGAAGTGATATCACTGGATCAAAGCATATGGACATAAATTTGGGGGGGCTGACCTTTTTTTATTTCAGCATATTATGGGGGTTCAAATGTTAAGGTTACGTATATTGCCCTTGCCTCCCCTCCCCCCTCGAGTCATGGACATAAAATTTTGACAGACGCTACCAAATTGATCTCTAAAAATGTATCTCCAAAAAATAATGTATTATGATTGATGATTGATGCATATGATTGACATGTCCATCAACTGTTTTTCATAGTCCCTTGCCTACATTCTCACCAATCTTGAATATTAGCAATATTTTTTTATTTTTTTCAGTTTTAAGGGTGAAACAACTATATCTAATTGATATTTTATTTTTTATTTTCCTCACTACCAGTGAAGGCGAGCATCATTTCTAAAGCTTCCTGGCCATTCACGTTTCAGCATATATAAACTACTTGTGCATATCCTCAGGAGGTAGATGTCTCCATCCTTCTGTAACCAGTGGGGCTAAGACTGGGACTGAGAGTTTTAGCGAGAGCCTGTATAAATTGTCCAGGATTGTTTGTCTGAAACCCATCCACTCTGGCTTCCACAAGCTGGGAGATTTGGCTTGGGAATACTTCAGATGGCTGTCAAGAGCCTGCTTTAGCTAACAAATCCAAGCTGGGGGAAAGAAAGGACATACAAGTAGAATTACCATATATCTGAAAGCAATAAAACCCCCATCATTGGTGGTAAGCAGGTTGCATTAACCTTTGACACATACAATCATATTACTAACGTTTTAATCTGTGGTTAATTGGGATTGGATATAGCTAGAGGTCATGGTGTTGAGACCAAGCCCCCGCATCTCTAACTCAGTTTGGATTAGGATTGTGGAGTGAGGTGCTCCTTTGTAACCATGTGGGAGGCCTTCGAAAAAGAAAATGATAGGTTTATGTTAGTTAATTGCCAACTCGGAAGATGCTCTGAAATCCAGAGAGCCTCTGTGGCAGATCAAAAGTGGACTCATCTCCCACAGACTGTGTAGGCTCATATCTGATTATAAGGGTAGCAAAGCTGCAAAGGAAACTAGGTGCACAGCCTCGACAAGGGTCCTACATCAAAGTCAGGGCCCTGACAGGGAAAGACACGGACCCTGAGTCCTGGCATAGAAACATTTTGGTGAATGAGTCCAAGAATCTTAAACCTCAAATTTCCGGAGTCTTATTACCTGTCAGAAACAGCTCTTACCCTTGAAGAAAAGTCTCTCTTTTCCTAAGGAGTGCAATGAAGCACATAACTCACAAGATGATGCTGGTTCTCCTGAAGACCTTCTCCTCCCCCCAGTTATTACCTCCAGTATCATAGCCAGAGTCAGCTCTAAGCCCCACTTTAGAAATGAAATACAAGCCCTGTTCTTGGCATAGATAGCTCACACAACAAAGGAATTACAGAACCTTGCTGGTATATGCAGGAAGGAAAGGTGGAAAATATGTGCAAGTGATCTCAAAAGTGATTTTCCAGAGGGAAGAGTGTACAATATGCTGGAGAAAGGGAACTCATTGTCATGAGATTACTCATCTGTGACTCAGGACTTAATGTCTGGCAAGGACACTGGAATAATTAGTTCTAAGAGTTTACTGTAATGACTCATTGAACCTTGGACATGATGAACGCCCATAGTAAATGAAGTGAAGTTTCTAGAACTTCTTTGGCATGGTATTAAACTGGTTCTTGGCGTACGGAATATTAGAGGGTCAGACACTCTCTGTACTAAGGTAATAAGGAATACATGGATGAGAGGCCACTGGCATTTATTTAAAAAGCTTGGTAATTGCTGTTTTCTGCAGACTAGATAGTCCCTGTTTCTGGCAGACAGTGAGAGAAGCTGTCATGAAACGAGGCTCCTTGAGGTCAGTGGGGATGTTGGAATTCCAGAACGGCAGAGCCTAGAAGACAGCACGTAAGCATTGGTGGCAGAATGACATCGTTACTGCAGCAAGACAAGAGTGGCAGTCAGGATGCCTCGACCTACTGTATCTATGGCAATGACTGAAAGATCAGGGTGCATCCGGGTGTGAGATAGATGAGCACCCAATCAAGGCTGGGTGATTTTGTGACATCAGCTTAATCATTTTTGTTAAAATGACATAAACTAATAGTAAAAAACCCAGCGTATGAAGAAAATTCCTCAAAAGAGTAATATTCTCACCAGAGAATACTACCTTCACCATTTTGATGACCATTCATCCAAATATCTCTCTGTGTTTGTGCTTATAATTTTATATGCATGGGATTAGACTGAATGTGCTGTTTATGTAACCTTTTTCTTTGGGCCAATGTTCTGTAGGCATCCTTCCTTATCAATGAAAATAAATAGTCAAGAATTTTGACTATATAGGGGCAGTATGACATATGTTTATGGGCCTATACACTGAACCAGACTAACTCAGTTCAGACTAACTCAGTATTTTTCTATCTTTGTGAAAGTAAATTGAATTCTGCATACCTCAGTTTCCTTACCTCTAAAATGGGTATAATAACAGTATGTAATTACTTCTTAAGATTATTGGGACTATTGAAAGAGTTAATACATAGACAAGTGCCTAAAAAGTGTCACTTGTTATTAGCTATTACTTTCAGTCTCCTAATAGTGTACAATTAAGTTGTTTCTTTTAAAAAAATTTACATAAACAATGCTACATGAACATCTTTGCCCTACATCTTCATATATGTGGATGATTATCTTCTTAAGAAAATTCCCAGAAATGAGATTTCCAGAGCAAAAGTCATGAGCCTTTTTCCTGAATGATAACTTTTATATTTTTCAGAATTTAAATTCTGGAGTTAGAATTGTGTCTTCCTGGACTACACTGGTAAATATGGATGTGTTCTATTATCTCTTTTTTATTATTAAATAGGAATTTGAACTTGAAGGAAAGGAAAATTATAAAATAAGGGCTCAGATTACTATTCAGTGTTTTGTGATGTTTAAATTGCATCTAATTCCATCCCCTGCATGTTTTGGCATGAATACAGCAGCACTGAATTTTGACCAGAGTATCATGTTTTGAATAAGTGAATGAGATCAGTGACCTTGTACTAATGACCATGATCCTTTAGAAAGTGGTTTTTGCAATATGACCCAGTAGCTTAATGGATGATATCTGAGTCTTGAGAAAAATATTTCATCGATCATCCACTTTGGCACCCAGATGTGACATTGAGATGCTTCCCAGTTCTCCCATCCATGACTTCATTGATCCTCATGGCAGTATTTGCTGGCTGAGTTCCTATTCCATGGCTCCTTGTCTCTGAGTCTGTGGACCATTGTTAATTTCTCTCTAGAGAAAGGAAGCTAATTTTCTTCCACTCTTCGTGTTCTCTCTTTGTTTTCTCCTCCTCTAAGGAAATATCTACTTTGACTCTGTGTCCTTTTGCTTAAAATTTAACATACTCTTTTCTTGAGACATTTTTCCCAATTTAATCTTTGAGTGCCTTTTTCTAGAATATATTTTCATATAACAGCCCTGTTTCAGAGAGAAGCTCATTCATTCCTTTTCTTTGCATGTGTTCTAGTATATGGGAGCCTGGGAAGGTGGTAAAGTCAGGCATCCAAATTGAATAAAAGTGGTCTTAATTCATGTCTTTATGAATTCATTCCTCACTCATGCTTCCATTCAGTTTTTTTTTTACATGGGTATCATTCATTTGCTTAGTCATTATGCAATTATTTATGCATGGAATATTAATATATTCTACATGCCTGCATTCTGTTTTCATACATTCATCTCAGCACCCATGCATTCATGCTTTAGTCATTCAATTATTGAATGCAATCATTTGTTTACATAGAATTCATATATTTATTTAGTTAGTTATTCTATTAATGTATCAGTCAGTAAGGAAGAAAACAGTGGCACACTCAAATTAAGACGACTAGAAGGGATTATGTACAAAGGTGTGAACAGAAAACCACAAGGATTAGTGTAGCCCCCGAGAGCCAGCCCTGTTACCACATCTGTGTCTGAAAGGGCAAAGGGAGGGATGAACTGAGACCTTTTTTTGAGGGATGCAGTAAGTCCCTGATATCCTGGATGCAAGGGAGTCTGAGCATAAATATTGTGATCTAGTTCTTCTTCTGCTTGCAGGTCTCCTCCTCACCTCCAATAGTATCTGAATGGAACAGAAAGTCAGTGTGCAAGAGAGGAGATAGAGGCAGTCCACCCTGGTTTGCCTTCTGGGGCACAGAGCAGGAAGAAGATGGGTAGCAAGTGTATCCAGAGATGCAAAAGGAAGATACCCCATATACCCTCTGAGGTTCTGAGGCTGGTCAGCACTGCATCTTCCTTTGTCTTTCCTACTAGTGGGAAAGGACCAGCAGAAATGGGCAGGGAAATCCTGTCCAGGAAACCATTTTCACAACAGAAAGCCACATAAGTGGAGTCAGCCTGGCTATCCATGAATCTCTGGATTATGTTCCTTTGGGAAAACCTTTTGGTTCCTCCATTACCTCAATCCAAGAAGGGTACTCTCTTCTGTGACAATATTTTAACAATATATTGGGTCTGGATGACTGCACTGCATACCTCATGGACACAGACTGTGTCTTACTTGCCTTGTGTCCCCAGAGTATAGCCAGGGCTGGGCACCTAGTAAATGTGGAATGAAAGGACGAATGAATGCATGAATGCTTGAATGAGAGAGTTTAGGGAGGTAATATTATAGAATCCTGAATTTCTTTCACTATCCCACCAGGTGGCAGCAATTACCATGGTCCAACTTTATTATGTGTGGAATTCAGATACACATCTTCATTGAAGGTCTTATGAATAGAATACATCTATTTTCAAAATTATTATATCAAAGACAGGATAATGCACTGAGGAAAAGAAAGAGAAAAAGTAAATATCTACTGTCACTAACATATAAATAGATATAATATACAAATAGTAATAATAGATATGACACTGTAATTTTACTTCAAAAACCATTTAGAAAACGTGTTACTAACACTTTATTAAAGAAATAAAATTTTCTCTCTGTGCAAATTTTAGATAAACAAATGAATTATATCTGCCCAGTGTGGTGTTTATGTTTTCTGCTTACCTCAAATCACTTGCTGAGCTCTTTTGATACACCTGGACCTATTTCTTGACCTCAAAGTCAAAAAGGTTCACAGGTTCTAGTTTCTCATGTGGCTTGCTTCTTTTCCATCTTCTCTCTAATCACTTCAACCTGTGCAGAGACCATGCACTGTGCTTCTTATAGTAGACTGTGAATGCCCTAATTCATTGCTGTTTCAGGTCATATGAACTTCTGAAAAAGAGCAACAATTAAAAAAATTGTTACTAAGTGTTCTTTACAAGCTCAGGGATGCTAGTGTCCCAGTGAGGTCAATAATACCTTAATTTACTTGCAAGTACTTACAATTCCTGTGTGTCTTAGAAATTAAGAGCATTGTTTCTTCATTGAAAGACATTTTTTTGACTTGCAGAAATCTCTTGCTTAGATTTTTATTGCTTTTGCACTGCTACAAGGATTACCAAAACTTGTCTTAAAATTCATCAATTCTAGATTTAGCGTAAATATTGCCCATGACTTGAAACAAAGCTACGTCCAAGAGATTAAGAACAAGAATGCCAAATAAAAGGAGACTTTTTATAATCAAGAGGTCAATACAGAAGAAGCTATGGGGGTGACTGGCTAGACCACGACCAAATTCTTGAGTTTAGATATCTGCCTTAGTAACAGATGAGAACAAGAAGGGACAAAGAGAATAGGAAGAGAACAGAGTAAAGAATGAGGCACATAAACAATTGCTTTGGTGTACATTGGCCCTTCAGCAATGGAGTGAGTCACTAAGAGGTTGCTTCTCTCTAATCTCCCAGGCTTTTCTCGGCTGCTAAAGGAGAGTTCCCATTCATTCCACACCTACCATAGCCCAGAAACTGTATTAACCTTTTTTATATTATGTCACGTAAGCTTTACAAAAGCTGTAGGTCAAAGCACAAATTTCAAAAAGTTAAAAACATAATTCTCTTACAAAAACAGAATGAACATGTCAAAAAATGTACTAAACTCATTAATGAATGAAGAAAATAGTAAAACGGCAAAGTTGGTACCCAAGAGCATTTGAGGTACAGGGACTTGTGTAGCTCATCACGAAAGGAATTTTTAAAAAAATAAAAGAATGTTAATGTCCTACAAATAAAATTATAACCTTTGGTATTATTTTTTTCTACTGGGTAGAAATCTACAAGTTAACATGTAACTTCACAATGGGGCTCTGATCCAATAGCAAATAGCAAAGTCAAACAAAGGTATAATCAAACAATCCTTGAGCAGATTTGTTAAAAAATGACCCAGCACAGCATTGGAAGGACACAAAGTCATCCTTTTTATTTCTTATAATTTCTCGTTTAGCCTCCAGCCTTTTCTTCTCTAGACTGAGTCCTGTGGGGTCAGTGGCTGGTTGTGTCTGTCTTTTCTTCATTCTGAAAAACATGTAATCATATAATGTGCAGTGACTGGCACTAAGTATGCAGTGAATAAATGTTTGCTTAGCTGAATTGAATTGAGTTTTGCAAAGGTTAATAACTTGCATAAAATCAAATAGTAGGTAAGTGGCAAATTCCCTGAGGTTTCTTATACCTCTCAATAGGTAGGTATGTTAGTTTTCTAGGGCTGCTATAATAAATTATCACAAACTGAGTACCTTAAAACAATAGAAATCCATTCCTTCACAGTTCAGACTTCTAGCTAGAGGGCTAAAATCAAGGCATTGGTAGGGCTATTATCCCTCTGAAAGCTCAGAAGAAGAATCTTTCTTTGTCTCTTCTAGCTTCTGGTGGTTGCATGCAATCCTTGGTCTTCCACAGCTAGCAGCTACCTCATTCCACTTTCTGTCTCAGTCTTCACATGGCTATCTTCCCTCTATACGTGTTTAAGTCTCTGTAAAGACCCTGTCTCCAAATAAGGTCACAATCACAGTACTGGGCATTAGGAGCTGAACGTATCTTGATACATATCCTGAACATACCACAATGCAGTAGGAGGCTTTGAAATCACAAGGTCTTCGGCTTGAATTCTTTTAGACCATTTAGTCAGACAAAGATCTCTAGCCTTGTCCTCAGGCTTTCTGCTTCCCCAGGTGCTGAGGAAATCTCCTGTTTTTCACAAGGTGGAATTCCAGGAGCCTCAGGCACTTATCATAGTTATTTTCCATCACCTTGTTTTGATCTTCTAGCTGTCATTCTAGTAATAAATTCCTTTCATGTTCTCTGAAACAAAATCCCTGCTTGGTGCCCAGGTTCTAGTAAATGGGTCTTTATCTTTTCCCTGCCATGTCTGAGGTTTTGCTACCTGCCCAGGAAGCCAGCTTTTCTGGGACCTGGTCTATGCCCTGCGCTTACCAGGGTATCCACCTGCCATCGGTGCCAGGTGAGTAATGTGAGTTAGTAGGGGACAGGGAGGGAGAAGACACACCCCACTCTGACCGGGAAAGAGAAAACCCAGGCCTGCTCCTTTCTGCAGTTGGTCTGGTATTCACAAGATGTGGTCAAAGATTTCTAATCCAGGTGGATGTCAGTGATCCCATCAAGGTGCCAGAGTGGCCTTTTGGGGCTTGGGGGAAGCAGCAGTTCTCAGCACCTGGTGGCTGTTAGGAGTAGTAGTCTTCAAGATTTTAGTTTTAAAAACCTTCCAAGTAAATATTGAATAACTATGAGCTGCCTCATACATTTTAAAGTTAGCATCTAAAGTTTTTCATCTTAAGTTTAAATAATTACAAAAGATGTAACTTTTGACATTTTGTAATCTATTAACATTTTAAAATAAAACTGTTCCACCCTCTTTTAAGAGTGTCCAGTGGAATCTAAAAATGATTATGATTTGATATCCACTACCATATCTTTACATATTCATGAACAAGTTCTTTAAAAATGGCAGGATTTTTTGCATATTTCTTTTTTCTTCTTGAGCTCACATTTCCATTTGAATTCTTCCACAGAATTTAACCCTTACATAATATATTTTTAAGTATGAAGGTCTTTTATTGTTTACTCTGTCCTTTCAGACAAAAAAAGTTTAGAAAATCAAGTTTTAAAATTGTCTTCTTGACAGTAACTGAAGTACTGTCAGTTGAGTTACTATAACCATTATAAGTACACAGTCAAAATAACACAAAATAATCAATTTTGATAAATGATTAGAAAATATAAAATGTAAACTTTATTGGAAATCAAATACCTAATGAAATGACTGGTTCTCTACCCAGGCCCCCAATTAGTTTATATATCTATGAATGATTATTACTTATTGCTGGAATAAGACAGAGTTTTGTGTTAATTCTATTACTCTCTTTCACTTTTATAGATAAAAGTGCTAAAAATATGATTGATATAAATAGCAAAAAAATGGAAAGAGTTGTAATAATGATATTACTTAATCATTTGAACTTCTGAATTATATTCCAAAAAATATTGACAAATAATTATTTAAATTTATCTAATACCTGGCAATTTAACTGGGTCCTTCTTCAAATTAATGAAAGAAATGAATGGGAAACCACATGACTTGTGAAATGATTTGTTGTCCAGTTATCACAAGGCATTTACTTTCTGAAATTTCTGGGAAATATAATGAAAAAGCTTTTAAGACTTAACAAATGATTATTAATTATACTTATTACTCTTTCACTTGGAGATACCTTGATTAACTCAATATACTCAGAGAGGACTGGGAAATTGAAATATTGTTCATTTCCTATATATTTGCCTATATGATATGTTTTATAAAATGCTTTTATCTTATCATACCATTTAAACATATTTTAATCTAAATGCTGGCACTGAAAATTGTCTTCATTCAGATAGTGGAGAGGTCTAACTGGTAAAGCAGTCATTTTTGCTGGTCTCATCAGTCCCAGTAAGACTCACTATCTATCAGAAAAAGTCTGACCTCATATTTCAATTTAAATGTATATGTCATGCATTTCAAAAAATAGTATAAAAGAGACTGGAAAAAAGGTTATGGGACACACTTTATAAGATAAATTACTAAAGTAGTCAAGATTTAAATGATGTAGATCTTACATAATTAATTCATTAATGTTATAACAAGTTATATAAAGGTGATAAATCAAAATGCTATTTCTTATTACTTAATTTATAATGATGCAGTGTAATTTGTAGTTTAAAATATTACATATTTATGAGAAAGCATGATAAAAAGTATGCTTAAATGTTGGTGTTCAGCTTTTGGGATCAACTAAATAAGAATCATATATAAAATTAAAATTACTCCATTAATTTTGTTAGACTTTGTGATCAAACCTTTAAAAACATCTGTGTATTTAAAGAAAATAAATGTAAGTGGTACTATTGAAAACAATCATTCTTCCAGGTGGCATATATTTTTTAAAAAAATAAGTAGAAAATACTCATTTTATGAAATAGACACTTGTACTTGAATGTTTATCACAGCACAATTCATAATTGCAAAGATGTGGAATCAACATAAGTATCCATCCTTTTATAAGTGGATAAAGAAAATGTGGTGTATATATACCATAGAGTACTACTCAGCCATAAGAAGGAATGAAATAATGTTGTTTGCAGCAACTTGGATAATGGAGGCCATTTTCCTGAGTGAAGTATCTCAGGAATAGAAAGCCAAATGCTGTATGTTCTCACTAATAAGTGGGAGCTAAACAATTGGTACACACAACCACAAAGCAATATAAAGGACATGAGAAACCAAAAAGGCGGGAGAGTGAGGGGGACAAGGGATAAAAACTTATAGGGTACAATGAACACTATCTGATGACAGGCACACCAAAGACCTTGACTTAAGCATTATACACGGTGTCCATGTAACAAAAACACCTGTATCCCCTTAATATTTTGAAGAAAAAAATAAGAAATAGAAACTACTAAACATTTAATAAGATGAAATAGATCAGGATTATTGTAATTGCAGTAAATATTTCATTATATGATTTGATAATGATAGATTATAACCCTATATTGAATAATACACATGAATTCTAAAAAAATCTTTGTAAAGCTGTGTAAGCAATTTTTTTTTTTTTTTGAGACAGAGTCTCGCTTTATTGCCCAGGCTAGAGTGAGTGCTGTGGCATCAGCCTAGCTCACAGCAACCTCAAACTCCTGGGCTCAAGCGATGCTTCTGCCTCAGCCTCCCAAGTAGCTGGGACTACAGGCATGTGCCACCATGCTCAGCTAATTTTTTGTATATATATATTTTAGTTGGCCAATTAATTTCTTTCTATTTATAGTAGAGACAGTGTCTTGCTCTTGCTCAGGCTGGTTTCGAACTCCTGACCTCGAGCAATCCGCCCACCTTGGCCTACCAGAGTGCTAGGATTACAGGTGTGAGCCACCGTGCCTGGTCTGTATAAGTAATTTTTATTCAATAAATCTTGAAAACATCAAGTTCAAGAAACATCAGTTACATTAAGAGTCAGGGTGGGGCAAAGGTAATATACGTTAGTAACCTAAACCTAAAGGTAACATATGTTAGTAACCTAAACATTCATACCCCCGTAATATGCTGAAATAAAAAAAATGCTCAACATCATTAATTATCAGGGAAATGCAAATTAAAAGCACAATGAAATACTGCCTCCCTCCTGTCCCCCCTGTCATGGCCATTATCAGAAAGATAACAAAACAGTAGATGCTGGTGTGGATGTGCTGAAAAGGGGATGCTTATACACTGTTGGTGGGAATGTAAATTAGTACCAACTTTTATGGAAAACCATATGGAGATTTTTCAAAGAACTAAACGAAGACCTATCATACTGGGGATCTACCCAAAGGAAAAGAAGTCATTTTATGAAAAGAAAGCCATCTTTAACTTTTTTTAAGTGAGAGAATTGTTATTCTCTGACAAATTTTGTGCTATGGACTCTTTAGGCAGTCTGATGAAATCTATGGACACTTTCTTAGAATAATATTTTTAAGAGCACACAGTTAAATACAATTGACCTTTGAACAGTACAGGTATGAACTGCATAGGCTCTTTTTCAAGTGAACACACATGGAAAATACAGTATTTGTGAGATGCAAAACCAGAGTATACGGAGGGCTGACTTTCTACTGAAGACTTAAGTGTGGATTTTGGTGTATTGTGGGATACTGGAACCAATACCCTGCCTAAACCAAGAGATAGTTGTACATATAATTTAAAAGAAGACAAATTGAAATACTGCTAGTCCATGGGCCCCAGATTAGGAATTCCTTTGTGGACTAGCCCCTCTTTCGGTCTCTCCTCCTTGCCTGAATGGGCACACCAGGCCACATGTGTGTAAGATGAATGTGTAGTGTACATTGCTGAGAAATGGCCCAGGGACCCAGGAAACTTTGTTAAGAGTGTAAAACAGCAAGAGCAGCAGACCACCATTTTCACAGAAATTCAGGGTGGCAGCAACAGGAGAAAAATCAGCCAAAAAAGAGGTCAGTTACTCACTGGTGACACTGTCCAGGCATTTGGAGTCAGCAGGCCTGATATTTCCGCCTGAGTAAGCCCAGGGTTCCTTGGCTAAATTAGGGGAGAAAGGACAGGAAGCCTCAGGACGTTGATGTTGGGCTTCTTGCTAGTGGGAATGTATAGGGGCCCAATATATGTCTTCAAGCTGTGCGATCTCAGAGGAGTCTGGAGCTTGTGGGGCCCCTTGGGAGTTTTAAGCAGTAAAGGGGTGAGTTTAGAGCAGAAATGGAGCACAGCTGCTTTGGACTTCTGCTCATCCTTTGAACAAAGGGATTGAGGCTAAAATAAGTTTGAATACAATGACACTGAAACCTATTATTTATGAGAGAACTAGTCAGAATCGGGAGGAGTAAGTGCTAGGTGAATGGAACAGATGGTACTGACTCTCCCACAAATGTACACATGTCACATTTGTGGCTACTCAAACTCTGATCAAGTAGAGGGGCAGCAAGAAGCTTCCAGGTGCCAGAGAACTCTCACACATCACTGGATTATATAAACATCACTGAAAATGCAACAAGATGGAGAAAAGCCTATTACAAAAATTTTTCTAGGGGAAAAGACCCTAAGTCATTGGAACTTAGGGTTTGTTCCTTTGGTCATTAAATATTTACCGAGAGCTTTCTGTATGCCTACCATTGTTCTGAATGCTGGGATAAGCCGTGAACAAAAACTCAGAGCCCCTGCTCTCATGGAGCCTATTGTCATGGGGGGTTTCAGGTAGTGACAACGGCTATGAAGAAGACTAAAGCAGATAAAGGGGACAGGGTGATTGGAGAGGAGCATTTTACACAGAGAGGAGAGGAAGACTTTTCTGTTAAGGTGACTTTGAGCAGAGATCTGAAAAGAGTGAGAGAACAGTGGGGAAAATATATCATCAAAAAGAAACACAAACACAAGCAGTGGAGCAGGATTTGCAGGGGAGTTTGAAGAGCAGTAAGGAGGCAGGGCAGCTGGAGTAGAGGAAGACAGAGGAAGGAGGTGACCTCAGAACCCTTTGATAAGGTGGTGTATGGTATATGAGACCTCCAGGGGAGCTTGCTCAAAGAACAGAAAATCATTGCAAAAATTTGCTCTAAGATGTGTGGGCCCGTGTGGTTTGTTTTCCAAGAGGGCTTTCATTTGGCTGAGTGAGTGGGAACATGCTGAGCTGAGCCTCTCAGAGCAGGGAAGCCATGCCCAACACAGCCACCAGGCACTGTCCTTCTGGACCCTTCCTGTACATAACTTTCAGCCTCTCTAATAAATGGTGAGTCTATACCAAAAGAGCAGAGAATTGAAGTACAGTTGGCCCTTGAACTTCAAGGGTCCACTTATGCATGGCTTTATCGAAAATATAGTATCTTCTTGATGCAAAACCTGTGTATATTGAGGGCTATAGTTTGAAAATTATTAACCTGTCTGATGACAAGATCAAATGAGAAGAGCCTGAAAACCTAGAAAGCAGGAATTCCTTGGTCCAGGTGCCCTTCCCTCTTCAAAGCCAGCAGTGGCAGGTCAATCTTTTTCCACAATGCCATCTCACTGGCTCTGGCTCTTCTGTCTTCCTGTTCTCCATTTAAGGACTCTTGTGATTACATTGGGCCTACCCCGATAATCCGAGATAATACCCTTATTTTAAGGTTGGCTGATTAGCAAATTTAATTTCATTTGCAACCTTAATTCCCTGTTGCCATGTAACAAAACACATTCACAGGTCCTAGGAATTAGGGTGTGGACATCTTTGAGGATCATTATTCTGCCCAGTACTGCCACACTCCATAAATGCAATGCAGTCTCCTTATGGTCTTTATTTTATATTTTAATTTTAATTTTATTATATTTATGGTCTTCAGTATAAGCTGCTTCAAACTTACTTTCAAAAAGAGGCAATGAAAATCACCTATGAAATCATAAAATGATATTAGGTGTTTGTCCCTGTTCCTGGCCCAGAGCTCCTAAAACTCTTAGAATCTTCTGATAAGAGTGTCTTAAGAGTGATAAGAGTGTCTTTACTATGCTAATGAGATGTCTCTTGGCTGAAGGGCTCCTAGATAGCTTCAGGATAGGGCTGGTCACTAGAAAGACCAAGCCATGATTAGAGGGTTGGAAGTTTCAGCCTCACTCCTAACCTCTAGGGAGGGGAGAGGGGCTGAAGATTGAGTAAATGCCAAAGGCCAATGATTTAATCACTCATGCCTAAGTAGTGAAAGCTCCATTAAAAAGCCCTAACTACAGGGTTCAGAGAGCTCTCCAGTTGGTAAACACATTGAGATGATGGGAGATCAGGGCATGGAAGCTCCTAGCCACCTCCCCCAACTCTGCCCTATACCTCTCTTACATTTGGTTGTTCCTGAGTTGTATCTTTATAATAAACTGATGATAGTAAATAAAGTGACTTCCTGAGTTCTGTGAACTGTTCTAGCAAATTATGGAAACCGAGGAAGGGAGTAATGGGAACCTCTGATTCATAGTAGATATTTCAGAAGTACAGGTGACCCACAACTTGTGATGGGCATCTGAAGTGGGGGAAGTCTTGTGGGACTGAGCCCTTAACTTGTGGGATCTGACACTATCTCCAGGTAGTGTGAGAATTGAATTGGTGTCTGGAGTGTTGGAGTGTTGGTTGGTGTGAGGGAACACTCCCCACATGTTTGGTGTCTGAAGCATTGTGACTAAAAACAGCTCAGAACCCTTAAACCTTTAACAAATACTAATTATATGAGAAGGCCAGATAGTGGTAGAGAAGTCAGAGAGTTGTCTTGGGGTTTTCTTTTTAACATTCCCCCTTATCATTAAAACAAAGGAAATGGGGCTATTTCAAAATGTGAGTTGATAATCTTGAACCACTCTCCTCTCTTCAGAGCTGACGGTCCATTTACCAAATTTCTCAGTGCAGTCTTCTGGTGGGAAAAAGTACTGAATTTGTTAGGTAGATAGAGAGAGATTCCGGGTCTCCTAGGGATGAAAGTGGGTGCTATTGCCCACATCTTGGTCCTGCCCCACCCTAATTCTCCATACCTGGGGGAGGAGGGACTACCCCTTAAATCTGAGAATCAGAACTTAGCACGCCAGCTGCAAAAGCATTCAGAGGACTCTCTAGCAGCAGCATGGGTACCATAAAGTCTGGAACGTGACCTAGAACTCACATGTGTAGGTAAGGCTCAGGTCATGTGATTCCCAACTGTCTAAATCAAAGTGGTTCCATGATGACCTCTGAACCATGAGGGAGGACCCTAACCAGGCACCATAAAACAAGACACAGACCATAGCCAACCCCTCTTTAGAGCCCTTCCTTTGCCTCTCCCTTTGCTGCGACAATGGGTCCAGTTGTCATCTGTGGCGTATGTCCCATGCTCGGTAAATCTATATCTTGCTCTTGCCCTATAATTCTATCTTTCTCTCATCAATAAACCTCATTCTCGTGCTTGCCTAAATTTGCTGTGTCTGGTCATACTGTGGCCAGGAGTGCACCAAGAACTGACATTTTCAGACTAAAACCTGACAAATTGTCCACCGTATTATTAGTTATCTGTTCATACTTAACAAGTTACCTCAAAACTTAGAAGTTGAAAACATACAATGTTTATTCTCTCACTCTTTCTCTGGGGCAGAAATCTGGGTGCAGCTCAGCACAGAGTGCTCACAACGCGGCAGCTGGCTTCTCCCAGGGTGATGGGCAGTGTGTGAGGGAGAGGCCAAGAGGGAAGCCACAGTCTAATCTCAGAAATCACATCTCAGCTGGGAGTAGTGGCTCACGCTTGTAATCCTAGCATTCTGGAAGGCTGAGGGGGCAGGATTGCTTGAGGCCAGGAGTTCAAGACCAGCCTGAGCAAGAGCGAGACCCCCTCTCTCTTCAAAAAATAGAAAAATTAGCAGGGCATGATGGTGCATGACAATATTTCCAGCTACTCACCTGGCTAAGCTAGGAGGAGTTGGAGCCCAGGAGCTGGAGGTTGCAATGAGCTATGATGAACACTGCACTTTAATCCAGGTGACAGAGTGAGACACTATCTCAAAAAAAAAAAAAAAAAATTCACCTGAGATTACTGTCGCCACAGGCCACAGTTTTGAAATCCATTCAGCACACATGGACACAAAGAAATATATGTCAATTTAACCGCTATCAAAGAGAGAAATGGAGAGGACATAGCATTAGAAAAACAATGCACTCTGAAGCAACAAGTTGCAATATGTTGTTATTAAACTTTTGATTAACAAATATAAACTGAGTTATATTAAACAAAGAGAAGCTATAATACAATTGTTATTACTATCCACCACAATAATTTCTCTATACTAGATCTATTTTTACCCAACAGAGTTTGTAACTGACATTTTAGACAACAGGATAATGGAAAGGCAGGAGATGTTTGTTGAAATAAGAAAAGCCTAAGAGCATATTATTAGAAAAGTGAAAATATTAAATATTAAGCCAAAAGCAATTCTCCATTACTAGAATCCATTCTGGGATAGCAAGAAAACTCCCATACTAATCAAAATAATAGAACTAAAGAAAAATCATACATCAGGACTTTCACAGAAGCCCATGGTATGTCTTTGATTGTTGCTCGAGCAATTTAATGAAGAATAAATAATAAAGTGTGGCAAATGTAATTTCTATAGTGACAGACATACGATATTTAAAAACTCTAAAGAAGTAAGCATTATATAAATAGTGATATCCCTGAAGCATATATATCACTTATATTTGGGTGAGTTTTTTTATGGTAGCTAGGCATATACAATTTTTGAAAAATAATTATTTTTTTGCTTTCCCTTATTCAGTTCTGTTTTTCTTTAGCTTTATTTCCTTTTTTTCTCCTATTTTTTTCTATTTCTTCTATTTGTCATTTTTAAAGTTATCATCAGTTAAACTGTGCTTCTGGCCTTAAAAATATCACGAGGTTTTGCATTAATATATATTGAATCACAAGTATATAAAAGAAATATTTTAATTACTGTCTGACATTCAACTCTTTTCCCTCTTTAGAAGGTATTGAGAAGATACTAGATTCTGCATCTGTGGCTAGGCTCAGTGGCTCACGCCTGTAACCCTAGCACTCTGGGAAGCCGGGGCAGGAGGATTGCTTGAGCTCAGGAGTTCGACATCAGCCTGAGCAAGAGTGAGACCCTGTCTCTACTAGAAAGAAAAAGGAAAAGAAATACATAAATTCTGCTTCCGATACACCTTGCTTGGACCACAGGTTGATTGAACAGTATCTTCTGTTTAATATGTTGTTGAAATCGCCTGGGTCTAGGACTTTGTGTTTTGATATTAAAACCTTGATCAGGTGTGACAGTTACGATACCACTACAAATAATGACTTGAATATTTTAACAGCTTTATTAAGGTATATTTGACACGCATTAACCTGAATATAAAAACTTGAATTTTAATGTCACTTTTTTTGTTTTCATTGTATGATTTCACTTTGAACATTTTGATGGAAAAACTTCTCTCTAGGTAGAGTATAAACAGATTTGTAATAGATATTTTGATGATAACCTTGGTGGATATGGCAAATACTGTTAGTTGCCAATGCAACCTTGTGAAGCAACTGGATTTTGTTCAGATCACTAGGTGGCAGTGTATACAGTGAAGGTGGGATCTCTCCCAAGTCCCAACATTTAAATTATGATTTGCCCAATACCATTACATTTTGCTTATCTGGTTGATGAGATGAAATGAGAGGCAAAGACTGCAGGGAACTTCTGAGAAAAAGTTTTCCTTCCAGTCAGCCATCTTGGAACTACAAGAGACCAAGTCGACCCATTGAGGATGCAGAATGGAAAGGTGAAGGACTTCAGGGTTTTAATGATCTTGTTGAATTGCTGAATTATGCAGCCATACATCAGGATGACCTTTGAACTTTTGTTACATGCTATTATAGACCCTTAGCAAAGCCACTGTGCAGTATAACTTCAGGGAAAACCATTAATACTGTGCATCACACTGGTCCTGGATCTTATTGTTTAAGCTACTTTTAGATAGATATTCTATTGCTTGCAGCCAGAAGCATCCTACTTCATAAAATGGGGCAGATAGGGTTCCAATATTAAGAAACTATCTCTGTGCACCAGTTCATACCTTACAAAATGCTATCTTAGAAAGGTTTAAATTACAAGTAACAGAAGCCACAACTCAAATCTGAAATAAAAGGCATTTATTGGCTTGTGTAAATGAGAAGTCCAGAGGTATGGCTGGTTGATCTACAAGTTCTTGATGTCATCAGTAATCTTGCTTTTTTCCTCTGTAATTTTCTTTTCTCCTTTTTTTTTGTTTTGTTTTTTGTTTCTGATTCAAAGTCTTACTTTGTTGCCCAGGCTAGAGTGCCATGGCTTCAGCCTAGCTCACAGCAACCTCAAACTCCTGGGCTCAAGAGATCCTCCTACCTCAGCCTCCCAAGTAGCTGGGATTATAGGCACTCACTACCATGCCTGGCTAGTTTTTGTTTCTATATTTAGTTGCCCAGCTAATTTTTTCTATTTTTCTAATTTTAGTAGAGACAAGGTCTCGCTCTTGCTCAGGCTGGTCTTGATTCCTGAGCTCAAGTGATCCTCCTGCCTCAGCCTCCCAGAGTGCTAGGATTATAGGCATGAGCCACCACACCCAGCCATCCTCTGTGATTTTCTTAGCTCTGTCTTCTCTTTGTGTTAGCTTCTTATTGGAGTTAGTTTTCTTCATGGTAGCAAAAGTATTTGCAGTAGTTTCAGGCCTCACATTTCCATATCTCACCCCTCAAACTCTGAGTGAGCCATTTGTTGGCCAGGGAGTTAAAGTGCTCTGATTGGCTTAGCCTAAGTAATATGTACAATCCCAGAAGTAGGGAATAGAATCAGATTTGTAGAAGCTCATGGGATCCTAAATAAAAAGGAGAAGTGAAATGCTGGGACCCAACCATAGAGTGTCCATTCCAGCTATAATATATAGCTATACTCTACTTACTCTCAAAAGAATGTGAGATGGAGATAGCCAATAGATGGTAGGCCCATGGATTACCAATGAAACACAAGATCTGGTTAGCTATTTGGGAACTAAGGATAGAGCTAGCTATCTGAGAGCCTCTGCTAAGTCATGGTTTGAACATTTGTGAGATAGGACTCCTGTTTATTTCTAGAACTAGACGTCAAGGCAATCAATAGCAATTGAAAGCAGCTGCTTCAAGAGAAATGTCAAACTCTTTGCTCTTTAAAAATGTTAATGGGAAATTTCAAAATCTGTGAACTTTTTTCAACACCTTTACTTTCTAAATCCAAAATTACTAGTATAAAAAAAGAATGCAATGCAATTTAGTCAAATCCACAGACACTTCCTGGCACAGCTGCCATTTGCACCAGAAAATAAAGCAAAATTGGCAGGATATACAACTAGCTATTTGCAGAAGCACTTGAAATCCACAGCCTGTGTTTGCACAGATTCCTGGCACATAGAACTCAGTGGCAAACTATGGTCATCCAAGAGCCTGGCTCAGGTACTTATTACCCTATAAACCTTAAATTTATTTCACACCTGCTTTTGAAACCTGGAAATAATGCCAAGTTGTTTTTCCAGATGGATTTGGCAAAAATTCCAATGTACTATACATTATAATGAGAGTAAATCCACTTCTTAAATTTATTAGACATCTGGAATCAGTTTTAAAAATGTGATATCTGCCTCAGAAAGGAATCTGATGCCCTCAGAGATGCTTATCCTTTTGACCAGAGGAATACACCCCAGGAGTGGAGAAGTTCCCATTCTTCCCTCAGAAACATTCCTAGTCAGATGAGGCCACCCATGCCCAAAGCTATGAAGACCTTGCTACTTTCTGGAGGAAAACCATTCTACAAGGTAATTGCTTTTATTATGGAAATGTATTCTCGAATTGAACTGTAAGGGTGATTTTGAAAATTTAGTGCAGTGCAATGTGTATATAAATAAGCTGCTTAGGAAGGGGAGAAAGGAGGCAGCCAATGATAATTCCTTACTAATGCTTTGAGACTGTCTATGGTTTGAGCAATTAACCTTTTATTTTTTTCTTGGATTAAAAAAAAAAGGCAATTTGGGCACTTTAAATAACCACAGCAGTGCTATGTTCACACTGTAAGTAGAAAGTGCAAGTAATGGAAAACATTGAGATTTCCTCAACCATAAACCCCAGCTTTCCTCTTTCATGTACTAAAAAGGCTGTACAGGGTGGTTGTTAAAAGCTTGGATCTAGGCCAGACTGCCTGAATTCTGGCTTTGCCATTTGTTCATGGAATAACCTTGAATAAATTACAAACTTTCTGTGCTTTGGCTTCTGTATCTGTAAAATGGGGACGATAACTGCGCCTGTGTCAGAGGGCTATTAAAGGATTAAATAAATTGACAAATGCAGAGAAGTAAGCACAAAGTAGGCATTAGCTATAACTACTTATGACATTTCAGATACATTTACTAAAGGAAGTTTTATTGGAATATCAGGATAACTAAATAAATATGTACTTCCAAACTATATTTTTACAGACATAGTATCTGCTCTTCAAAGTCATTTAACCATCTTATTAAAAAATTAATAGCATGATGTTTGTTAAAAGTAATTTAGCATATTATATAAGAAGTAGTCGTTATTCTGTACAAATGTTATGAAATGTATATTATTTGAAGTTTCTACAATTTAACAAATATTTATTAAGCACCTACCATGTGTAAGGCAATGTTATAGCATGGGGTTGATGATGACAATGATGATGATGACGATGATGATGATGTGTGTGTATGTGTGCACAAAATCCTTGCTTACGTGGAGCTTATATGCTTTTAGGAGGACACAGACAGTAAATAAATACATGGTATATGAGGTGGTGGGTGGCAAAAAATTCTATGAAGAAGTATAATGCAGAATCAGGGGTAGAGAGAGAGAGAAGGAGAGTAGGCACCTGTAGGTAAGGCCTCTCTGACAAGGTCACCCAAGAGAAATGACCTAAAGAAGGGAGCGAGGGAGTTATGTAGATATTGAGCGAAGGGATGTCTAGGAAGAGGGAACAGTTAAGTGCAAAGGCCCAGAGACAGAGAGTGCTTGGCGTGTTTAAGGAATGGCAGTACGGAATTTAAACCCAGGAATTCTGACAACAGAGGCTTGTGTTCCATATTCTCAC